TGTAACAATAGAAATTGGGCAATCTAAAACTACTGGTCATACAAAGGGTGTATTTATTTCAGCATAGACATACAGAGCTTTTCAATACAAGGTAGCGTGAGCAACTAGCTGTAAATTGAAAAGGTAGAACTCAACATTGCAATCCAAATAAGAGCATCTTTTCTCTAGACCCTCAAAAGCTCAAATTTTGGGCATTCAAGATTTTAAGAAAAAGTTGTTCATCAGAAAGTAAGAAAAACAATCATGTTGAAATGTTGTTAACAATTAGCTTTCAAAAAAATATCTTTCTAGGTAACACATTGTTCTTCCAGAGTGTAACTACACCCGCAAAAAAAAATTACTCCATATAAAAAAATCCTAAACCCTACCAAAAAAGCTCTCATGTTCAACATGCACGGACAAACTTCCCATCGTAAGTTTAATTATTTAAAACACATAAAGTTATCAACTTTAGAGTAAGAGGTTCAAGAGTCATCAACGAAACACATAAAGTTATCAACTTTAGAGTAAGAGGTTCAAGAGTCATCAAGGATCACACCCATGAGGTAAAACCAACATAGTGTATAGATTGAACCAAATGGCGCTGCTGCCCTAAACAATTGACAAGGTAAACACACTTTTTGTTGGAGAAAGATGATACCTTTGGACCCATGGTGACCTTAACAGCATCAGCGAGCTCTTCTACTCCCTGAAGCATCAGGGCTCGAGCCTCTACTCCAAATCTAATATCTTTAGCAGCATAGTTTCTGTTCCAACTTAACCTACCACTTACCTGGATATCAAAGATTCAATTCAGGGACAAATCAATGAAATACAATGAGAAACGGATGAACTCAATCCGATCTATACAACTAAACAAGAAATTACCTGTGAACCGCAGTTCTTGGCGACTCTGCAACAAAAATAAAATTGGGAAGTTCAGAGAATTGCAGATTGCGAAACTACAGATAGTAAATTGAGGAGAGGACTGACCTGGCCTTAGAGGCAAGATTTGCTGCGAAGCGATACATGGCTTTATTGAGAGATTTGATGCCGAGAAGGAGAGATAGTCAAAACGAATGCGGGGTGGAGAGCAGAACAGAACTGAGGAGGATGATGATGATGATGATGAGCAGTGGAGGCGTATATATGTGTGAATGCAGAGAGAAGAAGGGTCTAGACGCTTCTAGGGTTTTGGGGGTTTAGAGTCGGGGGGGTTTTGCTCTCCTTAACAGAGGAGAATATGCAAAATTACTTTTTTACCCTCTTTCTTTGTTAAGTTGAAGGAACCCCTTGTTCTGCTCTCCTCCTCCAGCTAGACGCTTCTTCAATTGTTGCTTCCCTTATGCCTGCTCCGCCGTGTACTCCCTCCCTCTGCCGCGCTCCTCCCCGCTGCTATGCCAGGTCCTGCTCTTCTACCTTAGTAGGAGTATTCAATCTTGATTTTGTAATATTTTTTTGTAATATTTTTTTGGATTTCAAAAGTCTATAGATATTAATACAGATTTAAAAAAAATATTTAAAATCTGGATGTATTCACTTTAGATTTTACAATATCCTTTAAAATCTAATAGTATTCAAAATTAAATAAATTTTAAAAGATTTTTATAAAGTATGGGTTTTGATAGATTTTAGACTTTTGGTATATATTAAAATCTAACCAAAATTATAAAGATTTTGGACTTGTCTGCTTCTTTATAGGCCACTACCTCCCTACGCCGAATTCTCAACCCATACTTCTCTATCGCCGATAGACTATCGGCGACTACATGTAATGGCCTCTAGGTGACGGCGGGTCTTCGTCTCCGAACTGCTCCGTCTCAAAGGAGATCATATCCCTCAAAGGAATCATTGACTTTCATTGTCCTATGGTCTACAACAAGGTAGGTTTTTGCAAAGTTTCTCCTTCCATGGAGGTGCTGAGTTTTCTGTTGGCATAGACCTTTGGATAACATTTTCAAAATGCTAACACTAAGGGGTTGTTTGTTTCAGCCTCTTAATGATTCAGATGTCTGAATGATTCAGCACTTAATGGTTCAGACTGTTTGTTTCAGCCTCTTAATGGTTCAGATGTCTGAATGGTTAAGAGATTTGCCTCTAAATGGTTAAGTATTATACAGAGTCTGAATGGTTAAGAGCTGTTATCTGAATTGATCCGACATTTGCCTCTGAATAGTTGAGCAATATACTAGCTCTTAATGGTTCAGACCTCTTACTGGTTCAGCACTTACCCATTCAGAAGTTTCCAAACAGTCCCTAACATCTAATGCCGATGCTAAACCGAGCTATTATCTACAAGGAATCATGGGTGGCCCGGAGGGTGTACAAAGTGACCAATCGCACATGGCTCTATATTTTTTTATTTGTTAATAATTTTGAAGCAAAAATATTCTAAAAAAATAAAATATGGCCGAAAATGTAAATTTTGGACCGGACCAAATTTATTTTTTCATTTTTCGGGACCAGCCCTACAAGGAATAGTTAAAAGTTAAAATTGCAAGCGCGTTTCTGAAAAAAGAGAAATCAAGAAAAGTTACGTTTTTTTCTCTAGGGACAAAATGAACATATTGCTTTAGTAAAAGTAAAATACTCGTTCTGTCCTAAATATTGATAAATAGTGATTAAAACCGTCAGATTAAAATTGATTAGAGGAAAAAGAGATATTGTGAACACCATATTTCTTTTTTTAAAGAAGATGAGAAAAATCTAAATTTTATTTTTGAAATTCAGTTTTGAATTTTGAAACAAATTAAGAGAGTGAAAAAAGTACAAAGTTCAAGGAACACTGATGAAATTTATTTCTGTCTAAAAAATACACGTAATACTTACATTTTGCTTTTTTGTTTGAATTTTACAAAATTTGACCATGATTTGTAGAAAAAATAAATTTTGTAACAATGGATATTTAATACGGCCCGGTTCGTTGGCCATTGGGTTTCAGTGGCTACTGAAGCCACTGCCCCCTATGGAGCTCCGTTCATAAAATTGATGATTTCTACCCCTCTAACCCCTCCGGTAACCCCCCCTCCCCCCGTCAAGTTCCGATCCTAAATCATTCCCCCGCCTACGTCAATTGCACCATGTAAGTATAATTGACTTTCAAGTAAAAACTTTTGACTCCAAGATCACTAAACTTGCACCCCGCAATTGACGTGGTTAGGGGGATGAGTTGGGACCAAGACCGGGTGGGGTGGTTTATCGGGAGGGTTAGAGGGGTATATAAAAACTATTAATTTTACAAATGGAGCACCGCAGGTGTCCCAATTGGGTGAGTGGCTTCCGTAGCCACTCTTTTTGAGTGGCTCTAAAACCTAGCCATATTTAATATAGTCCCTGAATCTAAAAACAATTTGACATTGCGGTATGTTTATGATATTTAACTAAAGATATTTAGTTTATTTCAATATCGGTATAAAATTAAAAAATAAAATTTATGTATTTAAAAAGTTATATAATTAAAGAATTTTACACAACATACACGGGGTGATATAATTATATTATTTTTTGAAATAAGTAATGAAAATCAGCAAAGAAAAAGAGAATAATAAAATTTGAAACCTAAAGATAATAAGGGAGTTGATTTTAAAATGATTGTTATGATATTTAACTAAAGATATTTAGTTTATTTCAATATCGGTATAAAATAAAAAATAAAATTTATGTATTTAAAAAGTTATATAATTAAAGAGTTTCACAAACATATACATGGTAATATAATTATATTATTTTTTTGAAATAAGTAATGAAAATCTGCAAAGAAAAAGAGAATAATAAAATTTGAAACCTAAAGATAATAATGGAGTTGATTTTAAAATGTACTCCATATTGATAGTATACTTGTAGAAATATTTGAACTAAATAGCATTAAAAACTAAAGTCATTTTCCTAAATAAGACTTAAACTGTTTTATTCTTCAAATAACACTTAATAATGTCTAGTGATGACGACTTAATAATGTCCATAATCTCCAGTGATGATGAATAATTATTTGAATAATGACTAATAATAATGACAAAAGGTGCTACATTGGAAAAAAAATTCATCTCATGCTATTTAGAAAAAATAATTATATTTTAATGCTATTTAAATAAATTACTCGTATCTTAAAAAAGGGAGCCTATTTAAAACTCCCTCGATCTGTCAATAAAGCGTGACTATCCATAGTAAATATAGACAAATATTCAAAAGAGATATTTTTGGAGGAAAATGAACATTATTGATACTCCCTCCATCCCGGAAAAACATGGGAGTTTTGGTTTTGGTGGGGAATTTAAGGAGTATGTATTTTGTTATTGAATTTCCAAAAATGTCCTTTGATGTGATGAGTAAAAGTATGATTTGATGGATAGATTATTAGTAAAAAGGTATGATGTGATAGGTAGGGTATGAAAAAATAAGGATAAAAGTGACTTTTTAATAGAAATGAGAAGTATTTTTTGGAACGGATGAAAAAAAAAGGATAAAGGTTTTCTGGGATGGAGGGAGGAGGGAGTATTTTTCATGTGTGAATTCATGCAATAAAGGGTGCATGTTTCAAACTTGTAATAATCCATTATTATAGTGATAGACTCCGTAATGAACGGGCTGATAAAGAGGAGTAAAGTAGTACTCCCTCTGTCCCAAAAAAAATGGTATGGTTTTACTTTTTGGAAAATTAAGGGGAAGATATTTTGGTATTGACTTTTCAAAAATATCCTTGATGTGATGGGTAAAAGTAGGATGTGATGGGTAGATTATTAGGAAAAAGGTATGATGTGATAGATATGGTATAGTATGAAAAAGTAAGGGGTAAAAGTGGTTTTTTAATAGAAATGTAACGGACTTTACGGAACGTAATTTTTTCTAAACGCAACAAACTTTTTGGGACGGAGGAAAATATGAATTAAAGAAAATTGATGATGAGCGAGAGGACTTTTGAAATGGCGGTCGTGTTAGGGAATTGAATCTGCAGTACGTACCATGCGTAGTCATCCATTGTATTGCTATATAAACACGTACAGCAGGTTGTATATATCCATGACAGATCGACCGCCGTTTGATAACATCCATCCATCCATGACAATGGCGATTAATCTTTCATGGATGCACCTCTGTGTCGTCGTCGTCTTAGCCATTTTTGGTATTGCCTCCCGGGCGGCAACGGCGGGCGACGTACAAATGACGTCGTTCAATGTAATGGGTTCCCTTCGGAAAACACTCGACGTCTTCTCCTTCTCTGTGCCGGAAGAGAGTAGTTTCCAGGAAAATACTCTCTTTTCTTCTTCTTCTTCTTCTTCTTCTTTGGAATCCTACTCGCTCGAGTTGCATACTCGATTGTCGGTTGGGAAAACAGTGGAGGGGGCGGAGGATTACGGGTCGCTGATGGCAGCTCGACTGGATCGCGACTCGGCCCGAGTGCGGTGGCTTCAGACTCGGGCGCGAGAGGAGGAAGAGAAGGAGGAGGATGAGGAGATGAATTCATCATCAGATGCCACTACTTGGGTGCCAATTATATCGGGGGTGAGTCAGGGTAGCGGGGAATACTTCGCCCGGCTTAAAATCGGCAGTCCAGGGAGGGAGTATTACCTGGCTACCGACACGGGGAGTGACCTTACCTGGCTCCAGTGCCTTCCTTGCTCCTCTTGTTACAAACAAACCGACCCCATTTTCGATCCCCGCAACTCTTCCACTTACTCCACCCTCCCTTGCGCCGCCCAGCAGTGTCAGTGGTTGCATGAATCCGGCTACTGCAGCCGCGACCGCCCCAGCCAGTGTATGTACGCGTACGCGTACGGCGACAAATCTACCACGGCGGGCGAACTTGCTACGGAATCCGTAGCCTTCGGATCCGCGGCGGCTTCCCAACATTATAATAAGGTGCTAATTGGTTGCGGACATTCCAATAAAGGGCTGTTTGCTGGAGCCGCAGGATTGCTTGGTCTAGGCCGCAGCCCATTGTCGCTCCCTTCCCAGATGAATGTATCCTCTTTCTCCTACTGCCTCGTTGACCGCGACTCTACAAACTCGTCCACTCTAGAGTTCTTCGCCTACTCCACCACCACCAACGACAGCAGCAGCAGCAGCGAAGGCGTGGTCGTTGCCCGTTTAATTCCACAGGAAGGGATTTTCTATCTCGTCGACTTGATCGGGATCAGCGTCGGCAACAACGAAGATGATACCGATCTCTGCATACCCAAGCGGCGGCGGCGGAGCTGTCATCATTGACTCGGGAACATCAATCACCAGGTTGCATAAGGACGTCTACAGTTCCTTCCGACGGGATTTCTTGAATGCGTCGGCCAACCTGAGGACGGCAGCCGATCCCAACCACATATTCGACACGTGTTATGATTTTTCAAACAAGGAGAGCGTGCAAGTACCAACGGTGTGGTTTCACTTCACCGACGCTGGAAATATGTTGGAGCTCCCGCCGGAAAATTATCTGGTCCCGATGGACGTGTCGGGGACGTTTTGCTTGGCCTTATTTCCGACTTCGTCTTCCATATCAATCATCGGCAACGTGCAGCAGCAGGGGATGCGAGTCACTTACGACCTTCACAACTCCCTCATCCGATTCAAACCCAAGCAATGCTAGCTAAAGGCCAGGCCAGGCACTCGATCGACCGTATCCAGCAGGGAACTTTATAAACATTTCATAAATATTTCAATATATATATATATATATATATATATATATATATATATATATATATATATATATATATATATATATATAGAATTGTTACCGTCCCTCTCAATCAACACCGCACCCTACACATGCATACTTTTCGCGTTCAAAAATCTCTCAACTTTAATTTTACCTAAATCAAATTATGCTCGTCCTTGTATTCCTATTTAAGCATGTATCACTTTCACATTATCATACTCCCTATATATATATATATATATATATATATATATATATATATATATATATATATGTTTATTATCATGTGAACACCGCCAAGTTATATACTCTGTATTTTACTTTCAATTTCCTTGAGAATCATATATTCTTTCTCAACTTAAAAATTCTCTCTTTACATTTTTTATCAAACAGGGACATTTTTTATTTATAAATTATGAAAAAAAATATATCAAATTATAATACTCCCTTCCGTCCCTAAATAAACTTCCTCTTTCGTTTTTTCTTTGTTCCCAAATAAACTTTTTTTTTTACTCATTACTTTTTCATACCCTACATATCACATCATACCTTTTTACTAATAATCTACATATCACATCTTATTTTTACACATCACATCAAGGGTGTTTTTGGAAAGTCAACACAAAAATATCGCTCCCTTAAAACCTCAAAAAGTCAAAAAAGGAAGTTTATTTAGGGGAGACCTCTCAAACGTAGGGGTTCTCAACTTGGATCCATTACAATGAGGGGTCTCTCCCCTTTTATAGGGGATACAATACACATAGTCAAAGTTTCTCTGATCGAGGTTCGTCGCCTAGCGGACGTCATCTCTGTTATGCGTTGTCTCTTTCATCCCATCGCTGTCGCGCAGTCAACGTGGCCGGTCGCTATCCGGCGGTCGCTATCACGGTCTCCAGCCGAGCTCACGGGCCGAGCCGAGCTCATGGGCCGAGCAGAGAAAATNCATTACAATGAGGGGTCTCTCCCCTTTTATAGGGGATACAATACACATAGTCAAAGTTTCTCTGATCGAGGTTCGTCGCCTAGCGGACGTCATCTCTGTTATGCGTTGTCTCTTTCATCCCATCGCTGTCGCGCAGTCAACGTGGCCGGTCGCTATCCGGCGGTCGCTATCACGGTCTCCAGCCGAGCTCACGGGCCGAGCCGAGCTCATGGGCCGAGCAGAGAAAATCTTCCACGTGGCTGATGGGCCCGGCTGACGTGTCTTTTGGGGTCGTCCTCCATCAGATACTTTTCTATGTATTAATCATATTTAGCGTTATTTATATTTTGATATATCAATTGTTTACAACATTTATTTATTCAGATTATGTTTAATTTGTTGTCAAACACTGTCAATGTTTGATTAAAAATTCAAAACATGAAAAAATTTTATTATGACAAAAATGAAGGAATTTTTCACGATAATGACCTCTTCCTAAAATTACGTTCTGTGCATGGATACGTCTCGAAAAGGCAAATCCAACGGTATATTTTATGAACAAATATGATTTATAGATTTTGAGTTGTGACATTTTTCAAAATATGTAAATTGGATAAACTCAAGAAGTGATTTATAATGTGAACTCTTAAAAAATGATTTATGGAAATAAATTATTAGATTGAATAATATTAATTGAGTATGAGAATATTTTTAAATATATGTCAATTAAATCAATTTTGACTCTTTCAGAGTCACACCCAAAATATGATGCAGAAAAAGTATTTCAAAAAAATAAAAAAATTATACAATTGCATAGCGCTTGACTACCCGATCGCAATGGTATAATCAAATTTCAACTTAGAGAAAGTTGGACAAAAAAATATGCCCCAAGTGGAACCATTTTAGTTATAATCAAGAGGCGTCTGGAATCTCCAAAAATCCCACCAAGCCGCTGAGAATCACCGAACAAAGATTGAGCACCCATACTCCATTCTTACATCAAACCCTTTCCTTCTTCTTTCGATCCATTATATTGAGAGTAGGCCGCCGTAGTTCGCCACCAACAAATCGGCGTAGAAATTCAGGTAGATGGGGCACAATTGGTCGGAAAAGTGCCTCTGATTTTTTTAAGAAATAGACCATATATTTGAAATGACAAAAAATAATGAATTTTATTAAACATTTGTTGAATGTAAAATTGTGTGTAATAGGTAATGTAAAATTTTATTTTAAACAATAAATTAAATGCAATAAAATACACTTTATTTCAATAAGACTAAACAAAAAATTAAAAATTAGCTTAATTAGATTAGGTTCCATTCATTTTTGTAGGGAGTAAATAATTTGAGATGTGGTCAATCCCAATTTTAGATGGGGGCATGCATCCCAAAGTATATGATTAAAAAAAAGGAATTAGTTTAACTTTTGGTTGGGGGCATTGGCCCCCAATTGTTTCCAAGTAGATCCGCCCATGGATAGCCGTGGTTGTCGCCGGAATTTTCACTGTAATGTTGAAAAGAAGAAAAACTTTATGCCATGTGTGTATAATATTTTTTATTAAATAACCATTTTTATTTTTAATTTATATAAAATTATTTATTTTATAAAATTAAAGAACCATTATTTTTCTTAAATTTTTATGTAACCTTTCACTTTTTAACAATAAATAACCAATATTTTTTTTAGAAGTTTTGCATTTTAACTAATTTAAAAATATTTATTTCTTTATTGCGAATACAACACATGTTTTAAATATTCACAATTACATTATGTTAATTTTATAAAAAGTTCTATAAACTTTATCAATCAAAAAACATCATTTTATATTATATTATTTTTATACTATCCACTATTTATTTTAGTTTATTTCTTTTCAAAAAAATGATTACATAAATTTAATAACGTATGAACGTTTATTAATTAAATACTTTATTTCAAAACTTTTATTTTATGACATTGTATATCTTATTACTACACATATTTTTCAACAAAGTAAATAGAACAAAGTTAGTTTAATTGAAGGATGAAAAGTGACATTATGCTAATTATGCATACTCGATCAATGTATCATTATGTAATTAGTCCTTTTTTATTTTAATTTTTATTAATTAAAACCATTTTCATTAGTATTTCATTCAATGACCATTAATTCTGCATAAATCCTTTTATTTTAAATTAACATATCGATATACGGAGTATATTCCACTAGTTTAAAATATATTTTGTTTATATATAATTATATTATATGTAAAAAATATTTTTTAAACATTATAGATATTTTAAAAAATAAAGTTTTATATGATTTTTTTAAAAAAAATTGATCATTTCTATTTAACTACTTTTAAATAAAATACTTATAGAATTTTTAGTGCATGTACATTAATATTTAAAGTATAATTTTTATTTAAAAAAATATATCTTAGAGTTACAAAATATTCATATCACACATACTATGTCACTATTAGAAAATTAAAATAAATTTATATTTATAAGTTTTGAAAATTTAGAATATATACGAGCCCGTGCGAAGCACGAGGTTAACACTAGTTATTAATTTTTTTATCCCAAAACATGTGAATTATTGTCAATTGATATACTTAAATAATTTATTGCAATTTTCTGTTATAGATACTTAACCAAAAATAAGATTTTTAGTTCATCTCAAGTTATTTGTAATTTATTTATTTTTCATCATTATAAAGGGTCTAATCCTCGCCTTCCTCCTTATTTTAATATTGCACCTATTAAGTCCACTCAAACTCGCCCTCTAACACATGGTGTAACGGGTCCCAATCACGACAACACAAAGCGTATTTCACGTCAAGGTATGATATTATATTCCAATCTTATTAAAGATATATTATACCCTGTAGTTAAATTTGAGTAATAAAGTTTAAAGCGTACGTAGAAATGTATTCCTTTCGTCCCAAATTATTTGTCATATTTCTATTACCGAGGCAAAATATTAAGTTTTTTCAATTCATTTTATTTACATATTGGTAAAGAAATAAAAAATAAAAATTACATATGAAAAAACTACATGAAAAGTTTTTCGAAATAAGAGGTCTCAAGAATATTTTATTTTATCAAAAAACCAATGAAAACGTAGAAATAAACAAAAGTTACTACGACTGCTCAAAAAGCAAATGTGACAAATAATTTAGGAGGGGGGAGTAGAATACAAAGATTAGTAACCTAGCTAGCTAGTGCAGATTATTAGGCAGGGTATTCAAATTCAACTGATGAACACAGGACTTTTGAAATGGCGGTCGTCTTAGCTAGGGAATCAGTCAGGATACATGGAGCTGAGCTCTCTCCCATTGTGCTATAAAAAGAGGTCCAATATATTCATCCTCTTCGATCATCAGCAGCAAGTAGAGACTGCCATTATATAATTTATATTATGAAATATTGCCATTAGCCATTTTTGGCATTGCTTCACGGGCAACCGCGAAGGAAGTACAAATGTTCGATGTCAGGGGTTCGCTCCAGAAAACACTTGACGTCTTCTCCCCTGACATCCTCCTCGTCCCTCAGCGGGACGAAGATGATCATAAACACAACTTTTCTTCTTCTTCTTCTTCTACTACGGCTACTACTAATAATAGTACAACTACTTTGGGATATTCCTTTGAGTTGCATACTCGATTGTCTGTCGAGGGAAGACCAGATGCGGAGGATTACCGGATGCTGACGTTAGCTCGACTCGGTCGTGATTCGGCCCGAGTGAGTTCGATCCTTCAGGCCCGGGCAGCTGTCGCCGTCAAAGGGACGACGGACAATACATCATCGGTGGGGTTGGCCCGTGGTAGTGGTGGTGGTTACTTGGCCCGTCTCGGGGTTGGCACCCCTCCCATGTGGTTTTACCTGGTTGCCGATACCGGGAGTGATCTTACCTGGCTCCAGTGCGAACCTTGCAACCCTTGTATCCCCCGCCGGGGCCCCAATTTCGATCCCTCCGATTCTTTCACTTACCATCCTATCATTTATGATTCGGCCCCCGTTACCTACGGGGTGGAATACGGCGATGGATCTTACACGGCCGGCGATTTGGCCTCGGAATCCGTAACCTTCTTTGGCCGCCGCGGATCGAGCGAATTATTGCAGATCGGTTGCGGATTTGCAAACGGAGGGACGTTTGCTGGAGGCGTAGGAATACTTGGTCTGGGCCGCGGCCCAGATTCGTTCCCTTCCCAGATGAACTTAGCATCTTTCTCCTACTGCCTCGTCGACAAGGACTTCAGAAACTCCTCGACTCTCGAGTTTATTATTAACTCGTCCCCTCATACACCGCCGCCCGCGGACGCTGGTGCGGTCGTTGCCTCTTTAATCCGCAAAGCAGGCCGGAGGGCGTCGAGTTTCTATTACGTTGACTTGATCGGGATCAGCATCGGCGGCGGCGGCGGCGGGATGATACCCATCGGCGGCGCGAACACAACAACAGGCGAAGAAGGCGGAGTCATCCTCGACTCGGGAACGACATTGACCTACTTGCAGTTGAGCACCTACGTTCCCTTCCGACAAGACTTCCTCGGTGCGGCGGCCCACAACTTGGCGTTAGTGTTCCCACCCGCCCATCTCCCATTTGACACGTGTTTCGATTTGTCGAACCTGAGGAGCGTGGATGTACCAACGGTGTCGTTTCACTTCGCCGCCAGTAAGAAGCCGTTGCTGCTGCCGCCTGAGAATTATCTGCTCCCGGTGGACTCCAATGGCACGCATTGCTTGGCCTTCATTCCCATGCTGAACTCTTCCATGTCCATCATCGGAAACGTGCAGCAGCAGGGGATGCGAGTCACCTACGACCTTGCCAAATCCCAGATCCGATTCAGACCCAATCAATGCTAGCTATCTAGTGCCGTGGCTCCATATATACTTTTATCTTCTATCTATGCCTATATATATATATATATATATATATATATATATAAACACCTACATACACGCCCATCACTTCTTTCAACATTATCATATATGTCAACTCCATCACATTATGCATCTTTTTTGTTATCCTATTTATTGGAGTGTTATAACAAAAATCATCAAGAAATCATAATAATAGTAACACTGATATTTAAGTTGGAAAAAAAACAAGGTGTAACTATACAAACCAACGTGGAGACATAAGCAACATCTATGCACTTAGCATAAACTCGCAGGAGGCTAGGTTGAGATATGAGCGTTCCAAATAACAAACTAAAATTTTAGTGTCGAAATTTATAATTTGGCCTCATTATTCCAAACTTGTTGAAATTGAGCCCTTTTTGTACTTTGACTTTGGAATTAAATGTGTGACCCCAAAGCCATCCAAATTTACCAATCTCCACTTTATAATAAAACTTAATAAGTTTGTCAAGATAATGGAATGTGTCCAAATAGTAGAATTGTCATATTATGGAATTAATTGGTCGTATTGTATACTAAATTGGAATATAGAAATAGGTCATCTGGTAGATCTAAAGGGTTCTGAACTCAATTGAATTGATAAGCATATTCGAATCACCATTGAGTTAAGATTGAGGAGTTAAGGTTGGTGGGATGAGCTTAAAAACCCCTCAGTTCCCACCAAGATACAGTGACTCCCGAAAACATTGCGGGTAGCAAATTTAATATGCTTTAAAGATTCTTGATCTATGGAATAATTGCATATGTAAGAGTGAAGTGCGGTCGCTTCAACAGAACGATTTTGGGCAAATCCTGTCTGACATTCTTGTAGGACCAGACACGTGTTCCATGATCAAAATGGGCACACCCATGAGAACGGAACGATAATTGATTGAAACCTGTGTATGGTATATTGTCGCTTACACAAACGAGAGTACAGTTCAAACACATCAAGCTCTATTGAACAACCAATAAAGAAGGTATACCCTACAAGGAGTATGTTCAAAGGCATGAAAGCCCACATATATTATTTAATTATTATAATATAAAAATGACAAAAAATGATTTAATTATTTTCATTCATTAATTATTTAAAATATAAAAATGACAAAAAATGATTTGCCACTTCAAAGCTCGTTACTCTTCTCACTTGTCACACGTTGACGAGACTATTTCTAATAAAAAATTCTATAGTTGACTTAATGTTCACCATGGACCTACATATGAGCAAAAATAAATATTTTTTTATTACTTAAATAAGCATATATTTTTTAATAAAAAAATTCAAAAAAATAATATGTGAAAACAACTACAAAAATAGTATGTACTCAAGGTGAATCAAAGAAACACTCATTTTTATTTGGTTAAAATAAATCACATCATTGTGTGACATTCTACATTCTAATTGGTTAAAATAACTCGTTACTCGTAATTTCAAAGAGACAAAAGGATAACGGAGGTCTATACACGCAGTCTTTTAGCGTAACGAATGTCTTAACTAATCATGGCACTACCACATTTTCATATGGAACCTCACAAGATTCGACGTAATTCTTACGGAATAGAAATTCTCCTTGACTGGCCCTAATATTGATTTTTTCAAACTCACAAGGGAGTATATGACTCCATGGTCAAGATACCATATACTCTCTTTAATTTGCCTCTCTAGATTTTTCCCGGGTACCCTATGATGTTTAACTATAATTTTTTTAATTTATTTTATTTGAAAAATGTTGTGAAATTAAATAGTAAGAATTATATATTTAAAAATTACATCAAAAATTTTACAAAATAAGTGATGATAAAACCATTTTCTATCAAATAATCAAAGAAAATATATTAAAAAATGAATAAAACTTAACTTCTTGAATAGTGACTTGAAATAACCTAAACACACTAAGGGAGTAAAAAGATATCAAAAAATAAAAAACACAGGACTACTACAAAAAATTCAAAGTGGATAGATACTTTAAGACTGAAAAAGTATTATACGGAGTATAACGAGTAGTCATCAAATTTTTTTTGGGAGGATTAAACTATGTGTACTCCTAATTTGGTATTTGTGTAGACTACTTTCTTATCTTTTTTAATACGAGTAAAAATTAAAATTTAAAGACTGATCTACTAAAAAAAGTTAAAAAAAACAGAAATTTTTCGGAAGATCGACCGAGTGCATGCAACTTGCCGTCCACGGTTGTCTTAGCTTGAAGCTAAATAATCAGAATGCACATTTAATGTATTAGAAATAATAGATGTATTAGACTATTAGGAAATAAAATATTATTATTTATTATCTTTCTTATTATATTATTTTCTTATTGTATTGTTATTATAATTCTTTTCTTACTTATACTACAATTCTCTCTTGTAATCTCTATATATCGAGATGTATCCTTCATTATTTAATAAGACTAATTATTATCAAATTATATCATAGTATCGCAGCTAAGATACTAAAAAACCTGGCCATTCCTTTTCCGACCGACCACATTTCCGGTCACTGTTCACGACGGTTGAGTGCCCAACAGCATGGCGTCACCGACCGATCTCGACGGGCGTTTCTTAACAGCTGTCATCCATTATCCCTCTTTTTCTCTCCCAAAACAATCTACTATCTCTCTTTCTTCTAAAAAATCATGTGTGGCCGAAGAATAAGAAAGTTGTGTTTGTGTGTGTTTTTTAGAGATTGAGAGCATGAAAAACGATAGAGGAGTAGAGAATGTCCCAAAAGGAGAAAAAAGAAACTTCTCACCCTCGCTCCAATTGGCAACACTCCCACTAGAAAAAAACTTAACAAACATAATCTCAAGTTTATTTGTCATGCAACGAAGATCCGACTCTCACAAAATGTATTACTCCCTCCGTCCCCAAATAAACTTTCCTTTTTGACTTTTTGGGGATTTAAGGGAGGGATATTTTTGTGTTGACTTTCCAAAAATATCCTGGATGTGATGTGTAAAAGTAAGATGTGATATGTAGATTATTAGTAAAAAGGTATGATGTGATAGGTAGAGTATGAAAAAGTAAAGGGTAAAAGTGGTTTCTTAAGGGAAAAGAGAAGTTTTTTTTTGGGACAAAGAAAAAACGAAAAGGGAAGTTTATTTGGGGACGGAGAGAGTAGTAAATAAAATATTATTATTTATTACATTTCTTATTACTCCCTCCGTCCCAAATTATTTGCAACATTTCGAACGACGTGCAAAATATCATCTCTTTTAAAATCAATATATTTTCAAATTGGTACAGTAATAAAAAGTAAAAATTACATCATTCAAAAGTATATAAAAAGTTCTACAAAACAAGATGCGACAAGAATATTTTATTTTATCAAATAGTCAACCAAAACGAGTAAACAAATAAAAGTTATCGAGAGGCCAACACAGTAACTGTGGCATTCTTTCTGGGACGGAGGAAGTATATTATTTTCTTATTGTATTGTTACTATTATTTTTTCTCCTATTTAGACTAGAATTATCTCTTGTAAGGCCAAAGCCAAACCCGACTTTTAACCAATAACGATTTTTGAACTATGCTTTTGTATTAACAAAGCATCTGACTCAAACCTGACCAAAATTTTGACACTTTAAAGTGTCACATTTGCATATACTCCCTCCGTCTCCCAGTTTTTGTCCACTTTTGACTTTTGGAACTGTTCATCTAAACACTTTGACTCATCAAATTCTCTCAATGTGTAAGCCTAAATATAATCATGTGTGATCTTGTTTGATTTGTCTTAACATATAGATTATTAATATATAATTTCTATAATTTTTTAATATACAAATTACAAAATAAAATGGATTAAAGAAGTGCTTTGGATGGTGTGCAAAAATGAAAGTGGACAAAAACTAGGGGACAGAGGGAGTACAAAAATGAGAGAAAGATCATACTTCTTCCGTCCCACAAAACTCTTCTCCTTTCATTTTTCTTTCGTCCCAACAAATTCTTCTCTTTTCAATTAAAAAATCACTTGTACCTCTATTAATTTTTAATCTACCTATCGCATCACAGTTTTTCTCTATTAATCTACTCATCACATCCTACTTTATTCATCACATCAAAGGGCATTTTGGAAAGTCAATACACAAATACATTCCCTTTAAATCCTTTAAAAGTCAAAATGAAAAGTTTTTTGCGGGATAAAGGAGGTATATAATAAGATAGATGAGGTAAAAAAAATGATCGGTAAGGGAGTAGCGAGATGTGAGCAGGAAAGAGAGATGTGACTGGGTGTTAGAAAAGAATGAGAAATGCAGAAATGGAGAATATATATAGTATAATCTGGTACAGTATTAAATTTTTTGTGAGGTCTACGGAGCACTATATTCTCTCTCTTTTTATTTACATCGTATATCCTTTTGCTTTAAAGACTTTTTTGTGGTTGCGGATCGTCTTGCTAACCTTGGGGCTTTTCAAGACATATCATGGGGAACATTTGATATCCCTACTGCAGATTTGGAAACCTTGAGCACTGATGATATGATGAGGGTCACTACTACGCGACACGCTACCACCACTTCTCGAGGCTACTAGCTCGGGGTCTCCCCCTCCTTGTTGATAAAAAAAGACTTTTTTGTAATGTGCTTTATGACTTTCCTATTTACACGTTGAATTTTAGCAATGTATCTGAATAGAGAAATTTACCTAAATAGGACTAAAACATACTCCCTCCGTCCGGAAATATTCTTCCCACTTTCTTTTTTGGTCTGTCCGGAAATATTCTTCCCATTTCTTTTTTAGTATACTTTTTAAGGATAAATATCAATAATACCCTTTTATTTTATCAGAAATCTACTTTCTTAGTACTTTTTTTAATAATAAAAGGATATTTAAAAGTTTATAGTATGTACATTTTTGAAAATTTTGCATTTTTTTACTATTCCTTAATAAGCGTGCCAAGTCAACACGAGAAGAATATTTCCGGACGGAGAGAGTAATTACTTTTATAATATAAGAATATATGTTTTTATTTCCCAATGCATGACCTTTAATTTGGTCATTATCAATTAATCATTATTCAAGTAAATGTCCATCATTACTGGACATTATTCCTCCCACTAGACATTATTAAGTCTTATTTAAAGAATAAAAAAGTTTAAGTTCTACATTGGAAAATAACTTATGTTTTAGTTCGATTTAATGCAAATTTCACATCTCAATTTGAATTTGCCATAAATTAAAAATAAAATC